AAAACAAACCAAAAAACCCCAAATCAATCAAACAAACAAAAGAAACCCCACCATTGTGGGAGGTGTCTGAGTGCACATCAGCCCAGCAGAGTTCTTACAGCAAATACTCAAATTTTTCACGTGGATCTTCTAGGGAAACTCAATCCCTGCAGGATCTCAGAGGAAAGCTGCCCCATGAAAACCCTAAAACCAACTTTTCCCCATCAAATTCACTCCCCAAGCAGTGCTGGATGAGAAGCCAAAGGAAGGAGATACTCACAGGTTCTCCAGGGAGACCTCTGGGTCCRACTTCTCCATCATCTCCCTGGGCAGCAGCAGAGACACAGAGAGGAGCAGCGAGAGACAGAAAAAAATGGTTTTAATTTGTCCCCTCAATGGGGTTTTGTCCTTATTCCATAACATTGACCCCAAAAAGCAACTTCCCAGCAAGGTTTCCATGCCTAAGGGAGCCCTTGTGAGCCTGGGGACTAAATCAGAGCGTGTAAATGATTTTACAGGGGTTAGAGAGGCTCTGGGGATACTTCATCATTCCTGTTGGTGTTTAGAAAGGTGAATTTTGCCACCAGAAGAGGGGTTGTAGACACAACCCAAGTTAGGTGAGGCCATAACCACGAGGTTTAGTCCCAAACTGAACAGCAGGGCAGGATGGGAAGGTGATTCAGCCAAATTAGAGCTGCTCAGATAAACCAGAGGCAGCAAAAGGGTGATTTTTTATCCCTCTGCTCCCATATCCTGCTGATGYCACACCAAAACCCCAAAATATTAAATGGCTCTTCCCCTGAGTTGTTTTTAAATCACCCCAGGCTGGGCTTTGATAAAAACCTCCCCTTATTGACTGAACAGCATGGAAGGAGCAGTGAATGATTTAATCTTTGATTCCTGCCTCTGTCTGGAATTTCTGTTCCCCAAATCTCRCTGCAGTTCTCTGGATTTCAGAAGATCAGAAGCCGTGTTGCGCTCACCGAGAGGAGGAATGTTTTTCTCACGTTATTTTTGATTTTCTTTTAACAAAACCTGAATTTTCTGACCAGATCTTTAAAACTGAATTCTTATTTCTCCTCCAGCTCCCCTCTCCCTGCCCTGCTCCCCTCYCRGGGAAGGTCTGGGTGCAGCCCCTGTGCCTGTGCTCCCCATTTGTAGGGGTTCCTCAGCAATCCCAAAAGCTGCTGACCCCACAGACACACTCACCCTCTCCCCATCCTCTCCTGGAGCCCCYGGGGGGCCGTGGGGACCCGGCTCACCCTGTGAAGGAAAGGCAGAGAATGTTTTAGAGAAGATGGAAACACCCTGGCAGTGGACGCCAGCAGGGGATGGTGGCACATCAAGACACAGATTTGATTTTTCTGTCAGTGCTGGATGTCTCTGTGCCCTCTGAGATGATTCCCTGGGCTCTCTGAAGCTGCAGCAGCCACTCCTTGTTCCATTTTTCCCCCATATTATTTTTTTATAAAGCAGAGAGATTGAACCCATTGTAATTTTTGGTAATTCTGGGTAATTCCCACCTCCAGACTGCACCAACAGCAGGATTTGTTTGCCTCTCATTTTCTTTTTTAGCTGCATTTTATTGAGGTCATTTTTCCCTCCCCATTCCAGTTTGGAGCATCCCAGGAGGATCTCRCAGAGGGATTTTGCAGCTCCATGGATGTGTGACATCCCACACCCTCTGAGGGACATTCACCCTGTCCTAATGGCACCATTGGGTCTCATCCCAGTCCTCCCAGTCCCTCCCAGTCCTCCCAGTTCTCCCAGTCATCTCCTACTCCCAAGGTTTCATCCCAGCCCCAAGAAAATCAGGAGCAGACTCACCCTGTTCCCCTTCTCACCAGGCAAACCGGCCAAACCATCAAAGCCTCGGTCACCCTGAAAGGAAATYCAGCTCAGAACCCATTTCCACCCACATTTACAAACCCTTCCCTTCCATTTCTGTGTCAAGGAAGGAT